TGTGCCCTCCTCATTACTGACTAATGCTGCAGGGCTCTCCCACCAGGCTTGGGTTTGTAACAGCTGTTGTGGGGTGGGGTAGATTTAAGATGCTGTCTTTGGGACAGACCCCTCCTGCCCTGGCCCAGTGTGTGGGATTTGTACATCCCATTGCAGTTCCCAAAATGAGCAGCTCCTTCACCAAATGAAGATTATTTCTAAACAAGTGGCTGGGGAAGGAAACAATACCCCCACCCCCTGCTTCTTTCCAGGGCCACCCTTTTCCCCCAGACCCTAGTTGACTATTTACCTTTGAGACTACGTGCAAGGCAACCTTGAAACACGGGATCAAAGTCAAACTGTGAGGATCAAGGCCCCCATTGCCCAGCCCCTTGTGATGACAGGGAACTGTTTGTATTGGATGTAGCTAGTTGATCATGATGGTCCTTCCCTTCTTGGTGCCCCCAAGGTCCCAGCCAATATGGCATAGAGATCAATCCCCGCCCCATCCCCAGGCCCTAAAGTGGGTCAGCAGCATGTGTGATAAGTCAGGTGGCTAGCAGTGTCCAGTTGGAGGATCATGGTAATGTAGGGGAGTCCACTGCACAACTGCTAGGAATGGATGTGACCACAGAATCGTTGGTGGCAGGGAAGTGGAAAGTTATTAACAAGGCGTCCTAACATCCTGAAAGCTCAAATCCCCCAGGGATTCGGCCCATTGTACGGCTTTGTGTAAACAGAGAGCACAAAACAGTCTCTGCCCAGAGAGCTCACAGTCCAGTCTCCCCAAACCCGCTACCGGTTCTGAAGCAACTCCATTTGCCCCAACATTTTAAAGGGGGCAAGGGCAGAACAACGTGCTTAAAAATAATACAGCCAAGTATTTTCCTTTCTCCTCTGATGGTTTATTTATCAGTAAATTGCTATTTCATAAAAGCAATAGACATGAAATACGAGGACAGAAATTGCCAGTGACTTTTAATTTGGGTACTGCTGATTCCTCTGTTCCAGCTATTGATTTTCCATGAAGATGAATCCCGGCTCCCCAGCCCACAGTGACAGGCAGTATCTGAGCATTTTGCTCACTCCTCAAGATTGGAAATATTTGTTTTATTTACTGTCAGACCGCACTAATGAGGAGAGGAGGAAAATCAATTGGCTCCTTATATTTTGATCTTGAAGACAGAACCAACAAGTTCTTAATTTTAATGGTGTGGGAATGGGGATGGGACAGAATAACTGACTAATGCCACACACTGCATCTGTCAGCACTTCTACAGGGCTGTCTTGGCTGATGAGAAGGGGGGAAACGGAGTACACGGAGATTGATTGCTTCATGCTAATTTATATTCATATTAATTTATAGAGATTCATAGAGTCTTGTAAAGCCTTATGGGCAAACTGATCCCTGGCGTAATGCCACCAAACTCCGTGGTGTTATTGTACAGATGACAAGAAACTAAGATCATCAGCCAGTCTATATTTTTACATTTCTAAATTCAAGATGGATGCCCACAGGCTATTTGGGAGTCTGGGTGGGGTGGGAAATTTATAAGGGGCCCCTGTCTTTTTCCGAATCCATTTGGGGTGGATATTGGTATTTATGACAGTGAGGAACTGATAGCGCTCCCTGCAGCAGGATCTGTGCAAGTTTCTCCACAGAGCTCTAGCAATGCCCCAGTTCAGACGTGCAACACCCTTACTGTTAAAAGGTACTGAGGTGAAATCCTAGGCCTAGCCAAGTCAGTGGGAAAACTCCCATTGACCTCAGTGGAGCCAGGATTTAACCCTAGGTCCCTAAAGTGCTGTGCCACCCAGTTCAGACTTGCAACATTTCTACGGTTCTAGTCTTATGCCCCCACCTTCCTCAGCTCAATCCTGACCTACAGCGACATGTCAGCTTTCCCACTCCTTGGCCTCTCCGGCCCCAAGACTCAAATCCAATGCATTAGAGCGTGGCAGACCTTCTCTTGTGGAGACATATGTACTAAGGAGCCCAAGTGAGCCCCTGTCGCTTATTTCCCTCATGATCTAATCCAGATTTGGTCACTGGCCTCCAGTGGTGAAACCTCTGCTCCATCACTTGACCCTTTTCAAATGAAGTCCTTTTAAAAATTATGTTGATGTGCAAAAAACTCCCAGAGGCAAAGGACAACTCCATGCAGCAGTGACAAGGACCACCATGCTTCACACCATGAGCTCTGCCCTGCAAGTCCACACTGAGACAGACTCCTGGGCAGAGACTTGTGCCCTCTCCAGGGAGCAATGCCCCTCAGCAAGGATTTTCAGTGACACCAAGCAGCGTTTTCAGAACAGAGCAGCATTAGACAACCTGAACACGGCACTGGAAGAACTCAGGTTAGCATGGAAAAAACATAGTCTGTCTGGCCAAGCCAGAGCAACCGACCAGTCAAGCTGTAATGGATTCCATTTCAGATTCTGTCTCTCCCGGATTCCTTGGGCAGATCCTGATGCAAGCAGCCAGCTTCTTCCAGAAGCCCACTCACTCTCCCCAGCTGGTCACCTCTCAGTCCTTTGTCTCCAGGCAGGGCCACACTGAGTTCACAACCCCACCCACCCAAGTTTCCCCACTGTTGAGTGTTGATTGTTCAGTCACTGGAGATGGCATTCTCCCTCTGAACCCCTTGGTGATCTGGGTCGGTTTCAATCAGTTCCTTAAAGATTCCTATTCACTGCAACCCAGTCAGCAAACTGACACCCACACCTCATGTCCTGAGCTGTTCCAGGAGCCATGTTAACCCTTTTGCACCCACTGTGTAGCAATGCAAAGTACAGAGGGAAACTGAGGCAAACAGGGTTCATAAAAACATACAGAAAATTCCTGTTTTGTCATACATAGGGCAAGCAATTATGGGCCAGCATTCCCAGGGACTGATCAGTGAGGTTCCCATTGATGTCACTGAGAGCTGCAGGTGCTTGGCACCTCTGACAAGCAGGCCATTAACTGCTGTGCCTTGGGTTCCTCCTCTGTAAAATAGAGCTGCCTGCCTCACTGGGTGCCGGAAGGCTTGATGTTTGACAGCATTCTGAAGATGTACAGCGCCAGAGTAGTGCTAAGTATCACGTTCACAAAGGGAGTCACTGTGCGTTGAGAGGAGGAATGAGCATGGATCAAGGTATAATCAGCTATAATAAATTGTGTGCAAGAAGAGGAGATGTAGTGTGTGGCAGGTCATGGATACAGAAGGTTTAAACTGAGTGCTGTGCGTGAAAAGTGCAGGGTGGGTGGCAGCGGAGAAAAATGCAGGTGGGGGGGGGAGTGAGCGGCATGTGTGCAGTGGGTGAAAGGTGAGGGAGGTGGGTCTAGAGGCTACAGAGTGATGGCTCTGCAGTGGATGGCATATGAAGGAGATGCTCCTAAAGAAGGAAATGAGCAGCTCAGTTCTCTCTCGGCACTGGACCCTCCCAGACCTGTCTAGTTTTCCCTCTTCTACTCTGGGAAGGAGTGTGGAGGCAGGGGGGATAGTTTTGGATAGGTGTCTTGGATGCTTCGTATTGGGCAGCCAAAAACATCTCATCCGTATTTCTTTCCCCTGTGCAGAAAAACCCTGCCTACTCCCTATTCAACAGCATGCTCCCACTGCAATGAGGCAAAGTTTAAAACAGCATAAATCTTTCAGTGGTTTCCACTGAAGGAGGGGAGTGGGACAGACGATTTTGCTGCCCTCTTGTGGAGAAAGGATATAGAAAATTATCTTTCATCCTTTAGTTCTGACCTAGCAATGGTGTCCGAGGGGGCGTAGAGCAGAATCCCTCTCCTAAGGACTCACTAAAAGCTTATTTTTCCCACAAAGTTCATTCCTGTAAATCAAACCCCATGGACATTAAGAGACCAGCACTCACCTTCTAGCCCATGAGTGCACCTGAGATTGACCGGGACTCTCCTGTCTGTTCCAACTGGAGACATTCCCAGGAGTGGATGCAGAGCAGTCTCAGCACAAGGCCTTTGCAGCTTGTCCCTTCCGGCTGCCTAGCAGGTCCTGTGATTCCCCCTCTGGGGTAGTTCTCTGTCCAGTTCTCTATATTCTTCCAGTCTTCATACATAGAACCTAAATGTTAAGGGCCACATTGTGATCCCCTTACGCCCACTCACTAACCCCTTCCGCCATGAATACACCAATCAGCCATCTCCAGGAATCAGGTACTATGCAAGTATCTGGGATCTGGCCCTAAGGCAGGAAGCTGTGTAAACCCCTTAAAGAAAAGTAATTGAAAATGGGCTCAGGGCCACGTATCTGCACCGGTTAGTTTTGTGAAGCAAAATGTATTTATTAGGTCCTAAGCATAGTTCTCAGTGCCCCAAACCCCACCCGGAGGCAGATAGGAATGAAATCTATAATGGTAGGTACCTAGGCATATGCAAGCCCAGGATGCAGTGTGGGCCAGCTGTATTCTCCCTGCCGACTGGAACAGTGAAATCGTAGGATCCAAAACCGGGCGGACAGGAGCACAAAAGAAACAAAAAATCAGGGCTGGTCTTAACCCTTAAGAGAGTTTCTATGCTGCTGTTTCCTGGTGTCCTCCCCAGAACCAGGCACAGACCCACCCCCTTCCCCCCAAGCAGTCCTCTGCCACTGACCCAGCTCAGACCCCCCATCCTGCCCAGCGCTGCAGAACCAACCCAGCTGCCCCTCATTCACCCATCCCCAGTTCCCCACTCATCCAGCCCCCCACCTGTGCCTCTCCCGCCTCCCCAGCCCCGTCCCCTGCCTGTGCCTCCCCCAGCCCCCCCACACCCTGCCCTCCCTGTGCCTCCCCACCCGCCACCCCCACAGCCCTGCCCAGCCCCCCTGCTCTGCCTCTCCCAGCCCCCCACCCCTGACCTCCCTGTGCCTCCCCCAGACCCCCACACCCTGACCTCCCTGTGCCTCCCCACCTGCCCAGCCCCCCACAGACCTCCCCTTGCCTCTCCCCGCCCCTCACCCAGTGCCCTGCCCTACCCGCGGGGGGCAGACGGGGCGGGCCCCGGAACCCGCGGGCGGGGGGGGGGGTTACGAACAATGGGTTCCCATGGCAGCTGCCTGGGGCTGGCCGGAGCCAGGGCAGCCCGGCCCAGGAGAGGGGGCGGCGGGGAGCGGCCCCGGGACACGCCGCCCGGCTCGGCCACAGGTCAGGACGCCCACCCCCCGCGGGCAACCAGCCAGAGGGGACCCCGGGGGCAGAAAGGGGGGCCGGGGAGCGTCATGGAGGAGGGACTCCTGAGAGGATGGTGCAGTAAAAGGGGGGCGGCTGCAGGAAGGGGGAGCCCAGGGGAGGGCCATGGAGGGGGGGACCCCTGAGGGGATGGTGCAGGAAGAGGGGAGCCTGGGGGGAGGGGCATGGAGAGGGGAGGGGCAGGAAGGGGGACCCCTCAGGGGATGGTGCAGGAAGAGGGGAGCCTGGGGAGAGGGGCATGGAGAGGGGGAGGGGCAGGAAGGGGGAGCCCAGGGGCGGGCCATGGAGGAGTGACCCCTGAGAGGATGGTGCAGGAAGAGGGGAGCCTGGGGAGAGGGGCATGGAGAGGGGGAGGGGCAGGAAGGGGGAGCCCAGGGGCGGGCCATGGAGGGGTGACCCCTGAGGGGATGGTGCAGGAAGGGGGCAGGGAAGGTGGAATTCCCAGGGGGAGGGCCATGGAGGGGGAAGGACTCCCAGGGGTGGATGGTGGGCAGAGAGCAGTGGGTGGACAGAGCGGGCACAGAGGCTCAGGAGAGCCCCCACAAGGCAAAGCGTGGGGGGGGCATGGAAGACCCTTCTCTGTGCCTCCCTGCTGTGGGCACAGAGGGGGAAAGCCAAGGAGGCCTGGCACTCCCCAGCCAGTGGAGGGCGAGCCCCGGATCCCCTCACTGCCATTAGCAGGGCATCCCCTCACCTTCCCCTCAGCTGGAGCGTCAGCTACCCCTAGTGCCCTCTGCAAGTCAGGGTGTTGCAGCAGGGTCAGACTGGGCCCTGCGCTGTCATGCCCCTAACGAGGAGGAGGAACAATTATCTCTTTCTAGAGTACAACAGAAAACACAAAAGCAGCCACAGTTCAGCACTACCAGACTCTGTGTATCATACTGGCAGCATCAGGCTCTCCCTAGACTGTCACTTAGGCCTGCTGGCCGGGATCATCCAAGGTTCCCTAGTGAATTAGCACCTCTCTCCCAACAATTTACATCAGCCTCAGTTACTAAAGCTGAACACCTTGTTAAAATCTAAATTCACTTCTCCTTCATCCCGCTGCCTCTTTTGTCTTTCTCTGAACAAACTGCAAGGCATAAGCCCCTTTCACTGTCATGTATAGTCAGTTTCACTTTCGGCATCTTCCCTGCTTTCATTTTTTTTTAGGCCCCAATTCCTGCTGTTGTTGCATGCAGCTAGATCCTCACTCCTCCATAAAGCCATGCAGGTGTTTTAAAAGCATCTCTGGCCAGTGGAATGCAGAAATAATTATAGAAACATTTCTGTTTGATTTAGCTTTGTAAGAGCTTGTTTTTACATCATCTAAAGTTTTGAGCCACATAACCAAATAAGCTGCTAGCTCTATATTACGTTTCATATTGTGGTGTCCTGGGGCTGATCTGTGTCAATTTTTTGGCTTTACCTTGTTTTCCTGCATTTTTCTGATGGAAAGAATAAAGTTTAAAAAATTCAGGACACATTTGAATTGACAATATCCTTGAAAAAGCATCCCGGCAAATGAAGGGATTATCATGAAAAATAAGTGCATGCAGTGTTGTTGTAGCCATGTTGGTCCCAGGATAACAGAGAGACAAGGCGGGTGAGGGAATATCTTTTATTGGACCAACTTCTGAAGGTGAGAGAGAGAGATGCTTTCTGTCTACACAGAGCTCTTCTTCAGGTCTGGGAAAAGTACATGCTGAAAGCTCAAAAGCTTGTCTCTCACCCCTGGAAGCTGGTCCAATAAAAGATATTCCCTCACTTACCGTGAGAAATAAGTGACACTTTTGCACTTCTATAATCCAAAGACTGAAAGCACGTCACAAATTTAATTGTACCTCATAATATAATACCCCATGAAGTTAAGTATTACCAGCCACATTATATAAATGGGGATAACGGGGCACAGACTGCTGCTGTTCTACCCGCTAAGTAACATGGTCTTGTCAGAAAACATGTGAGGAGAAAGAATAAAATATCAGAATTATGCACTGTAAACACTTTATAAAAAACAACTCTAAAACAAGCCGATGCCATGGATGTCAGATAGCTACTTGAGAGCTATTCTCCGTTTGTGTCACTAGCCCCCTCGTCGTGGTATTGAAGTGTAGCTAGGGCTAGCAAAGCAACATCTTGACATTGCACATTTTCTTTGTCTTCCATATCAACTATGTTCAGTTTTCAAGTCTAAATATGAGCTTCAAACTGGCATCCAAAACAAGCTGCATTCTGGTTCAGTCATTATCACTGTCAGTGAAGATTCAAGAACCGGAATTTAGCTGACAATTCTGTTTTTGATACCTAAGTCATAGATACCTCAACTAAAAGATAATACAGGTAGGTCTTCCATGGCTATATTGGCTCAGCAGTGGTATTAAACAGTACTCTTGCCTTGGTCATTGTAGGAAACAGATACAACGAAGGAAACAGAGCAGATATGGAGTTTAAAAGGGCCATTTCCATTGTCCCTTTTCTCACTGATTAACCATTACTTCGTTCATGTTTGTTTTTCACTTGTTGTGTGTCATGTTGTTACAGTGAAACGCTTATGGAATTACACGTTTCATCCACATGCAATTGAATATAATTCATTCGGAACTATTATAATGCAAACTAAACAAAAGGTGGGGAGAAGGATTTGTCATTCAAAATGTTGACTTTCAGGAATGGGTTGCACAGTCAAACAGAAAGGACACGTGATAGTTCCTCTCTTTACAACTCTGGTGAGGTCACACTGGGACCATCACATTCAGTTTGGGCCACTGCACTCCCAAAAAGACATTGATAGATTGGAGGGGTTTTAAAGATCAGCAGCCAAGCTGATTTGAAGCCAGTATCCTGCAGTTGCCTAAAGGAAAGCCTAAGACCTGAATGGGTGTATAGCTTGGCTAAGCAAATTAAGGGAGAGACGTAGACACTTGCTGATATGAGAGATGTGAATGACCAGCAAGAATGGAGAAAGAGATAACTTAGGGTGGTATAAAGGGGTCTCATTAGAACTAATGAGATAAGGAAAAAATGTGAGAGTATCAGGATCCGTTATTTACCCCTTCACACAAGAACCAGGAGTCATCTAATGAAATTAATAGGCAGCAGGTTTAAAACAAACAAAAGGAAGTATTTCTTCACACAACGTACTGTCAACCTATATAACTCTTTGCCAGAAGGTGTCGTGAAGGCCAAAGCTACGTTGGGGTTAAAAAAAACAATTAGGTAAGTTCATGGAGGATACGTCCATCAATGGCTATTAGCCAAGATGGTCAGGGATGCAACCCCATGCTCTGAGAGTCCCTAGACCCTGATTGCTAGAAGCTAGGCATGAACAACATGGGATGGATCACTCACTAATTGTCCAGTTCATTCTCTCTGAAGCATCTGGCATTGGCCACTGTCAGAAGACAGGATACTGGGCTAAATGGACCATTGGTCTGACCCATTATGGCCTTTCTTATGTTCTTATTTATTAAATGAAGATATAGTCTCTCAAGGGAAATAGCAGGAGCCCAGTTGACTGGGATATTTAGGACTAGACTAGGCAAAGCACTCAAAATGGTAATGTTAGAAAGGAATGTTCTAGCATTGGCAGGGAGCCTGATAGAGTCTAACAGAAATTAGAGATGGGATAAGAACTAAAATGATTTATAATTAATGTTATAGTATAAGGAAACAGCAGTCACTATCATGGTATGCTCCATATTGACTGCTTTTCCTTTGGTTCTTAAAGGTTGTTATTGTTGCTTTCCTGCACAGCAACTATGAGTTTTGGAACCATGGATGTGTATTTGAATGAGATAGAAAACAATCTGCAGAGTATTTTGTACAACAAAGAGGAGGACCAGGAGAATGAAACCTGGAAGATGTACATGGAGAGAAAGAACATTGTGCTGGAGTTTCTGCACTCTGACTTGAGTCTCCACCTGCTGAAACGCCACCATAAGCGAATTGAACTTCTGAAAAAGTGCTCTTATTACATTGAAATTCTGCCCAAGCATTTGGCACTGGGAGACCAGAACCACCTCATGCTGCCCACCACTATGTTCCAGCTGGTTGACCCCTGGAGATTCCAGAGGATGAAGAAGTTGGGAACAGTCCAAACCAAAATCCAGCTGTTGCTCTTAACTGACCTGTTAGAACAACTGGAACAGGGGCGGGAGGAGCTGGTCCACTTCCTGGAGACCTATGACATGGTAACATTCCTCGCCAGGTGGGACTTGGTCAAGCAAAAGCTGTCAAATCTGTCTGAGCTGATGGATAATTTCCTTGCCATGCTAGTGCCAGGAAGGCTGTATGTTAAGCATCGTCTGGTGTCAGATGTTGGGGCTACCAAAATCCCACACATTAGGCTTGTTCTGAGTACCAAGATGCCAGTGATGTTTGATCGAAAGGAATCAGTGGCCCATGAGGACTGGGTGAGCCTCAAGTGGTTTATCACAAGTCAACAGTCACAGCCTGAACAGTATGAACTCAGGTTTAAGCTACTGGAGCCCCGAACCCAGCAAGAGAGGATCCAGTGTGGAATAATGCCGGTCACGTCCAACATGTGTGAAATCCAGAACCTGCTGTCTGACAGATCATACAGATTCACAGTTAAAAGGGCGGAGACTTACACACTCGTCTATGAACAGTGGTGCGATACCATCACATTGGAGACAAAACCTTACCCTGATGAAGGCATGGAGAGCACCATGTGCGAACCCTGACGGATGAAGCAGCAGCAGAGAATTTTCTAATTTTGTCAATTCAAAGAAGTTGAAGAAGTAAAATTTAAAATGTATTTTTAAAGGTTTTTGCATAAAAATTGAGCTGTTGTGTCTTCAATTGTAATTTTACAAAGTGCCTCATATACATCTTTATGGGCTGAAAACAACACAGTTTAAACAGTCACCACTGCCCCTCATGCCTCCACCCATCCTTTGCAACGTCCGTTGCCAATGAAGGCCAGCTACCCCTCGTAGTGAGGCTAAGCAGACTATAGCAGTGGGTAAAAGATCACCACATGGTGTCTGACACAAAACAATTTAGGGAAAATTTATCCACTGTCTGGTGCCTTCCTATAAATCAACAGCTAACCCAGTGCCTTCTTCCCATGCAATGTCCTCACTTTTCATTGCCCTTCCTTTCCTCATTGCCCCTTGCCACACCAACAGTGCTCTGTTTACACACACACGCACACACTCACCTGAATCCCAATCCTCATGGTCCCTCACCACTGCCCAGTCTCCTTGCCAAGGTTCCTTCCACAGCCTCTGCCATGTAGTTGCCCTCTCATTTCCCATCCCATAGTAATGCTCTACAGTGCAGGAAAAGATCCTTTTTTGACTTAAAACAGGAGAGGGCAAAATCTCCAGGGATCATCCTCTATAAAACAGTTTCCTCTGTTGAATATTGGGGTTAATGCTCACTTCCTCTTTTCCCATCTGTTTCTGTCCAGATTCAGTTCCGTAGAATCCTTTCAATTAAGTACAGGACAGATTCTATTCACGCATGGACACATATACACGCACATAGAGAACTCGATCCCATAGTCATAAATAAACATTTTTCATTTAATAAATTTAATCATCTTTACAATTATGGCTTAAATATGAAACAGGAATGTTGAGGTTCTTATTTAAAAACATTAGAAGCAGATAAAAATATTTGTATCCAAAATGTTGTTCCAAAGCTGTTACAAGTCTCACGTTACAGACACAAGATAAAAAACCTGTCACATTTAAGGTTCCTTAATTTGAATTTCACAACACGTAACATTTTATTTCCATTTAAAAACTGATTTATTGCAGTGGATCATTCTCTACACAGCTGTATGGCTCCTCAGGAACAGCACTGCAGGCCCACGTCTGTTCCTACTGAAGCCACAAAAGATTTTTCTACTGGTTTTACTGGGAGCAGGAGCAGACCCAAGGGAGAGTGCTAAAATCACAAAGATCAGTCAGATTGAAGCCTGAGACACTGTTTACTCTAGATGTAGATCACCTTTCTTGAACTCACATAGGGTTGAAGTCTCGGTAGTGCTGGGGAAAGCTATGCTACCCTCCAGCATGGACGGACATATACCACAAAAGCAATTTTAACACGTGCTTGTCTTCTGGCTGAGAACCCAAAGACAGTCCCTCTCCCCAATCCTGAAGAAAGAGCAAGCTGTATGGAGTTGGGGTGGTGAGGGTGCTGTACTCCGACCTCTTAGCTACAGTCCAGACCCACCCCGCCATGACTCCGGTCAGAAGCTCAGAATAGTGGGCTGTGCATGAGGATGGACACCTTTCTGCCCAAACTGCAGCCATTGTGCTGTTCTTTGGGCATGCACCTATGGTCAGCACCAGCTGGAGTTCAACCCCTGATGTTTATGATGAAAGGATATTTCCCAGTCATGGCATCTCCCTAGGAAACCATTCTGATCTCCTATTTTACCATTCACAAGCCTTGTTTTATCAAACTCTGTGATGTGGCCGACAAACTGCACACCATCATGCCAGACACATGCCATTGGAATTATAGTGGGGGCTTTCTCCTCTCCCCCCCCCATAATAAAAAATGTCTTCTTTGTCTTTATGTCAATAGTTTTATGTAAGAATCCTTCCATCATAAATAACTGATTCAAATCTCTCTACGCATATGAAGCTGGACTAAATTTAATGAGTCTTTTCCATATTAACTTCTCTGATTCTGTATATCCAAAAGCACTATATCCATAACACAGTATTCAGTTATCAGTAATAGTCTCTACAAAACATTACATTAATTGCACTTCCTGCTAACCCCTGGCTACTGAGGCTACATGATCAATTATGCGACTGCCTATTTACAACATCAATGCAACTCAGCAGTCTAAGCTGCGATCTCACTGTAGTTTGTAGGCCATAGGGCAGCATTTTCGAACACAAGTTATGAGACCAGTCTCTTTCAGAATAAGTTTCTGGAGAGGATGTGATCTGTTGCCTTGTAAGATAACAGTGACTGAACACAGTACTTCACTCTAGACTTTACTGCACAAGGTGAAGTAGTTTGGTGGGCCGGGGGGTGGGTGGTGTTTTGTTTTTGCTTTTTTAAATACGAACAAGTGGAAAATGGTACACGCAGAGGTGACTTGGCTAAATGATGCTCAGCAGTATCAAACTAAGCCCCTACAGTGCGTCTGATTCGCCTCTCATTTATACCAGTTGTACGCTGGTGTAACCTGCATTCTTTCCATGGAGAAACTCCAGATTTACACTAGAGGGAGGAGAATAAGGCCCACTGGACTTAAAGGGACCATGGTGAGTGTGTTAGCTATACAATGTTCTCTCTGCTGGGATGTGTGTGCTATACTGAAGTGTTTAACTTAAGGATTCCAAAACTGTCTTTCACCATTCGTTTCACTAGTCCACAAAGTGATCTCTGTTCCAGAGTTTACTCTGGAATCGTAAAAACAATTAGTTTGCAAAAACAAGGCCTGTTTGGAATCCTTGAGATACGAGGCTTCAATGTGGGACAACTATCAGGCCTAAGAACTCACCTGTTCTCTGCCTGTGGCACATAATAGTTTAGTCTCTTGAGGGCTGTAAAACTTTGGTTGTTGGGCTTAGTGTGCAGGTGCTGGGTAATGTTAGTGGCCTGTGATACAGAAGAGGTAGGTCTGGATGAGCTGGTGATCCCTTCTGGCCTCAAATGCTATGACCAGCCTTTATCCAGTGCCCTTTAGAAATACTGAGGAAGCCTTCTACATTCTTTCCTCAGATATGGGACTTGGACCCATATGCTGCACTACTAGAAGAGCAGATGTGCGTGTTCTCTTTTACCAGAAACCAGGTCTATTACATGGCAGGAGAGCAAGCAAGCAGTTTCAAAACAAGAAGCAGAAGAAGGAGAACCTTCTCCACAGGTTCTGCACTTTCCATGGCTATACACGACTCAAACCTAACAGGAAGGATCACGGAAATGGAGTATGACATTACACACTGGCTGTTCAGGTTTTCTTATTGCACATTCCTTCACTTTGGGAAAGAAGCCCTGCAAACGCAACACTCATTCATCCCTAGTATAACTCTTGTTGAAGTCACAAAGGTCGGTAGTTACACCCGGGGTGACACTTGGCCCACCCTGTTTTCATTTGATACAAAAAATGTTGCAATGGCAGCTTGGCTCAGTCTTACACGGACATCTACTGGTCCCTGTGTATTTGGTCTTCGGGAGCACTGAGGCGGGCACACGTACAGTCAGAACTGGAATAATGAGATTGCCGTGCTGTCCCCCATAAATACCATGCCCACATAAGCAGCTCCAGCTTAACAAGGCTTCAGTGCTGAGCACCATTTCACTACTACACAGGTATCATCGGAACTGAATTATTGGGAAAAATAACTCCTGTTCCTGTCAGCCTCCTGTTCTCTAGTGATCCACACCTCTCAGTTCATAGCAATTTGGCTATTTTAAAAATATATACACATACATCTCACGTGGCCAAATGCATGGGCCTTTGATTGCAAAGCAAAGTTCATTGAGTTAAAAGTCAATAAGTTAGAAGCAGCTTAAAAAAGAAGAAGAACAGAGGAGGGAACATTCTTTACACAAGAGGAAACATTTTCAAGTAAAACTAGGTGGGCAGCTTAAAAATATCTTTACAGTGTCAAAATCTGCTGGTAGAGGTTGTCCCCCATGGTCTTCATTCTCTTTATACTGGTCATCACAATCTCCTTTGCACTAAGAGTCAATATGTCTATTTATAAAAGTACTTGGCCTTGGCTAAGTGATATTTACCTATTCATAAAGGCCAAGAATATTTCATTATCTGGGTTTTGTTTTGGTTTTTTGGTTTTTTCCTTCATTTAAAATAAAACACAGATTGTTTCTTCTGCTTTGAGAAATGAGATTGCCTTAGTAGTTTCCTGGGCTTGGTTTCAGAATTCATGGTAGCACTTGGCAGCCTTGATCCTAGTATGGCACATCACAGCTCAAGCCTGCAGCTCTGTCACATGCCATCCTTCAGCTCCTGATGAAGTGAAAATATCTATTTGGTCCCCAAAGAATAGCTGCTGTCACAAAAATGCAGGTTGGGGATTCCACGGAGGCTCTCTTGGCTTCCACAAAATCTGCCCCTGCACCCATCAACTTCCACAGCTTTTTGGTTTGCAAATGCTGGAAGTCTTGACATAAGGTTGCCTTTTCATTACAAGAAGTTTAAGGTGAGTGGTCAAGTGCAGCTTGCCAATTCCTGGTGCATTTTCTTCACTGGTTAGTGCCTGACGGGTAGAAAAGAGGCTTGAATGCAGCATTGTTCCCCAATGGGCCCATCAAACATTTCAGGCAGGGACTGGTTTATCCAGCTGTGATCTATTCACATCAGCGAAGGGCTGACTTCTTCCTGACCCGAATGTCGTGAGCCGAAGTGCTGCATCCCATCTGTTTGTAATGCTCCAGCAGTCTCCTCCACAAAGGGTTGGATTCCAGGAGATAGCGGTTTCCTGTTGGTAGAAGGGAAAAACCAACAGTGAGCAGAAATGGCTAATCTGTTTCCATAGAACACTTGGCGGACCTGTCTGTAACCTCTGGGCCTAGAGAAAAAAGCCAAACTGTGCTGGATAAACTGGAGGGACATTTCCTTCAGCCCCAAAGTCCCCAGCCATGGCCCTACCATTGCCACATCACTGTAAATGTATCCTGTCCATGTGACCAACAGGGAAATACCAACAGGTCAAATTCTGCTGGACTAGAGATCCAGCATGCAAGCAAAGAAAGAATATGATTAAAAACAGAAACAAGACAATACACGCTGAATGTATGTTAAAAACATGGGAGAGATGCCTATGATCACTGCTCTCCACTCTGAGGGGTAGTTCAAATACATGGGGTGGTTCCCAGCCACTCGAACTTCAAAATCATTGACGTTGTAATGTTAGAAAAACGAAGACAGACCA